CGCGAGGTGCCGTTGTGCCCCCCTACCCCTCTACCCCCCGCCCCCCTCTCTTGCCCGCCCTCTGCGCTCTGCCCTGCGCCTGCTCCGCCACGGCTGCCCTTTGCGGGGGGGGGGGACAGACCCAGAGCACGCTGCAGCTCGCCAGGGGCTGTTTCGGCTGCGCACGCTTCGTTCGGCCACGCGACTGCCGAGCCGCAGCCTCGCCCTTTGTCTTCCCCCACGGTCGGACCGAGGTAGAAGATCGAGGTCGGTTCGGGGAGGGTGTCCTCGTGCGGTTCGGGGAAGGTGCCCGAATGCTTTTCGCGATTGCTGAATGTTCTCGTGCGTCCTGGGGTAAGGTACGCTCGAATGTTCTTCAGTTTGGCCGGCGGAGGGTTTGATGTTCCCGAAAGATGTTCTTCCATCTTGCAGTCGAGCATTTGATCCAGAAACCTTTCCCCTTTTAGCTCTGCAGGGTTTTCTTAACCAACTTGCCAAGAAGTTGGCCCAGTTTGTTTAACACGTTCGCCCCTCCAGCGCTAGTTGCAGACATTGGCCCAGGTTTCTTTTCAGAAGCGTCCAGGAAGCGGGCCCCGATTTCTTAAATTATAGTTTTCTTGATCATATGTTTGGCTGTACGTCCAGCCGTATTTCCTTCGAGGGACAACACATGGCATAACCGTACGTTTTCGGAGCGCCGCGCGGATTTCTTGGATCGACTCTGGGCCCACCTGGCGGCGCCTCTGGCGCCGCATCTGGCGCCCGCATTTGGCGCGCTCCGCGCGCAAGAGAGGGGGTCCAGCGCCGATGCAAGAAGTCCGCTCAGACCTCCGAGAAATTATTATTATGCATTTGGTTGTGCCCCGTTTATCATGATTCCTTGGCTGCTTCTCTCGCCAAATAAATCGGCAGGCTTGTTCCGACGTTCTTTTCTTGGGACGTTTCGGGCCCGGCCTGGATTTCGAGGAGATGATCGCGCCGATCCGAGTGACCGTCGGCATGGATGCCCATCTTGGGCTTCGGAATTGGATTGGAAGATGGCCCCCTCTCTCGTGTTGTTGTCTTCGCTTCCTGGCTCTGCTTGACATTCCCCATCGAACTTAGGATAGGCGGCGTTCTACCGAACGCTTTTAGGACCCGACCGACCGACCGACCGATGGGGGCGGGGGAGGACGAGCAAGACGAGCAGGAAGAGGAGGAGGAGGAGGAGGAAGAGGCGGAGGTGGAGGAGGAGGAGGAGGAGGGGGATGAGAAGTCGAGGGACAGATTACGATGACGAGGAGGGAAGGTCCTCCCAAATAGGGCCTGAGTGGATGGGGTCGTAGGATCGCGCCGCATCGGCGACTCGGCGCTATCTGGAATTCGATGTTTTCCGTCCCGACGTCGCCAGTGCATCGGCGATACGGGGACGGCCGCATTTGGGGGGATTTCACGGTCGGGATGCGCACCTTGGCGGGCCCCCCGACGGCTGGAAGCCTCTGGAGGCCTCTGCAGGGGGTCCCCGGGTATCCCCGAGCAAAGGCACAGTCAGACAATCCGTCAAAGCCGTGTGTCAAAAGGCACATGAGGTGAACGCACTGCTTGCGGCCAGTCTCGAACTGGGATTGTGCATACATTGTCGATCGAAGCTTGAACAGTGGCACATACATCTCTTGCAACTTTGTACAACTCGGCAGGCAGCAAATGCACATATGACCCACAACCTTTCCCCTCGAGGATCGAGGACCGAGGATCGAGGAGGAGGAGGAGGAGGAGAAGGAGGGAGGGAGGGAGGGAGGGAGGGAGGGAGGGAGGAGGGAGGGAGGAGGAGTGCGAGGAGGAGGAGGAGGAGGAGGAGGAGGAGGAGGAAGAGGAGGAGGAGGAGTAGGTCTGGGCCTCGAAATTGCCCCTCGTGCCGATCCCTGGGTGCAGAACTTACGGGTGACTTTAGCCGCGGCGACGAGGGCGGCCCAGGAGGCTCCTCAAATGGAACTCTGCAAATTCCTCTCGAGAGATCCGTTTGGTTAAAGAATGCGCCCAGGAGGCTTCAAACCCTGGAGGGTTCCTTATTTGATGAGGGCGGCGGTGATACCCATGGCCAAGCCTCGATTGGAGTTTCGCGGGCTTCCAGACCCTGGATTCCTTATCAAAGGGTTCCTCCCAATACCCCCACCGTATTCTTGCGAAGACCTTGCGTCTGGTGCCGCCGACCATGAAGGCGGGACCTCCCCCGGAACCCCCGTAGGCGCCCCCCCCTGGGATCCGCTGGGACCCTGTGCGGGGGGGGGGGCGGCGGGCGACATTCTGGCCCAGGACCCCCCCCCCCCCGTGCGTCAGGGAAGGGAAAGGAAAGGGAAAAGGGTAAGGGAATCGACTCAACTACGGCGTTCCCTTTTTGATTGTTTCTCAACTTCCTTGGGACTGGCGACGACGACGACGACGATCTGAAACTTGACGCGAGCGCCCGCTGCAGACATCCCACACAACTGCAGCGTCAAAATCCAGGGCGGGCTCATCAAAAAGCGTAGGCGAACCCGAGTTCCAGCGCACTCGAGTCTTACGTTTTCCCGATCCTCCCTTCTATGCAATACCGACGTTGATCGAAACAATCGCCGAGTCCGCCTGTCCTTATCCTCCTCATCATCCTGCTGTTCCTCCTCCCCTTCTTTCCAGACGCCCAACGTCTTGACAAACTCAAGGCGTGGATTCACCGGATTCGGCCCTCGCCAGGGCACTCGCCAGGCCCCCGGGCCGTCAGAGAACCACTCGGGATGGAGAGCCCGCCCTGGGGATAGGGTCTAAACTTCTTCTGGGGACCTCAGATCGAACAAATCCGTCGGCCCCTCGGTGTGTGTGTGTGTGGGAGAGAGAAAAAGAGAGACGTTTTTCCGTTTGAGTCGTCGTCGTCGTCGCCGCCGCGACTGGATCTCGTCATTTTCCTGACGGCCCCGTCAGGCCAACCCGAGTCCCCCTAACCCGACTTTTACGTATCCCCGAGAGGAGAAGCAGTAGGAGGAGGAGGAGGAGGAGGAGGAGGAGGAGGAGGAGAAGGAGCAGGAGGAGGACAGACGCGCGATTGTTTTTTGATCAAAGTCGGTGTACCATCGAAGAGAGGAGGAGGAGGCGGAGGAGGCGGAGGGGGAGGAGGAGGAGGAGGAGGGGGAGGAGGAGGAGGAGGAGGAGGAGGAGGAGGAGGAGGAGGAGGAGGAGGAGGAGGAGTAAGAATGCAAATCCAAGACTCAGCAACAATGCTGGAATACACCCTCCCTCCAAGCTCTCTCTCTCTCTCTCTCTCTCTATAGGGCCCTAACCGGATTCATTTCCACTCAGGAAGTTTCCCGTTGGGGGACAACCGTGTGAAAATCCTGAAGCGCACCAGAACACCATTCTCAGGACTTCAACGCCACGAGTCAACCTGCTGTTGCGTCTGGATGATCCTGGGACGTCAACATCGCGAATCAACGTAACTCTTGCTGCCTGAGAATCCTGAATCGCTCCAAAACACCAGCTCTTGTACGTTAGCCATGAGAACTAGCGAAACTTTTGCATTTTTGACAAAAGACGAATGTGGGCGGCACTAAGGCAAGAGCCACAATTTAAACATTCGTTGCATCCGTCAAACTCTTGCGAATTTTACGAACGAATGTCTGCGGCGCTAAAGCGAGAGCCACATGTTGAAATCGAGCCTTACGTTAATCCATAGGCTTCATGCATTCCTAAATAAACGAATGCGCGCGGCGCTAAGGCGAGAAGCACATTTTGTAAACCACTTTTTTCAATCCGTGGCACTCTTGCAAATTTGTGAAATGAATGTTCGCACCGCGAAGGCGAGAGCCACACATATCTGAAATGGAAGGGAAGTGTCGGGCGAAATGCCAGGCCCACCTTTCCGACTGGCCTCGGGGTACGACTGGGAGGAGATATTCATCATGAACAGGAATGGAGGAGGAGGAAGAGGAGGAGGAGGAGGAGGAGGAAGAGGAGGAGGATGAGGAGGACAAGGAGGAGGAGGACAATGAGGAGGATTTTGTTGCAGGCCCAAATAGGCAGAACAAAACCGTGGCGCTCAGCAAAGCGCGGGCCAACGTGCCCTGGCCAACGGCCAAAGTGGCCAACGGCCAACACCAAGGGCACACGCGCAAAAAGCGGGAATCACGGACACAAGCTGGGACCTGACCTCCGGCATCCTTTCCTTGACTAACTCCCAATAGCGCCAGAAACGCTGTGACTTAGGGAGGAAATCAAAAAAAGAGCAAACCAAGGACCGCCCTACACCCGCGACAAAATGGCGCACGGGGGGTCGGGATCGGCGCCCAAGGGACAATACACGGAGCGTTGCCCAGCGCCCGCACCCTCACAAGCACGGCAACAGTATGCCCGCGGCAAAGAGCACTGCAACCAAGAGGTTGCAGGCGGGAAACCACGGGCCCCGCCTCCGTGATCGTCAACGGCGGTTCACCTCAGACCAGGAGGTGCCATCGGGGTCTCCCCGCGCCCAGGCCGCACCTCTTGGCCGAGGTGGCAGGGCACTAAAAGCCCTGGCCTGACAGCTGCAACGGCGACAGCGGCGGCAGCAGGGCGGGGAGGGGGGAAGGGCCACTCTCCGGCCCAGGAGCGCAAACAACGTCCACCCCGGAACTTAATCCAGGGCCGTACCGCAACTCCCAAAGAGGAAAGGGGCGACGGACACGACGACGAAAAGAGACACGAAGGACGACAACGAACGACCACGAACCTCCCAGAGGGAAGTGCCGCCCTCCGCCCGTTCCTTATCGCACCCGCGAGCGGGCGGGATAAGGAGCGTGACATCATCGGACCCACACCGCGTTCAGGCGTTGCCACACGGAGCCCAGGCTGCACCGCTTATCCGCGGTGGCGAGGCATTTGAAAATTGCCTTGGCCTGACGGCACAATGAGGAGGAGGAGGAGGAGGAGGAGGAGGAGGAGGAGGAGGAAGAGGAGGAGGAGAAGGAAGACAGGCGGGGGAGGAGGAGGCGGAGCCGCAGGAGGCGGAGGAGGAGGAGGAGCTCCGCGAGGTGGAGAAGACCTACCAGTACGGCTTCTCCTTCGACCCCGTGGCCGGCGTGGCGGCCTGCCGCGGGGAGCACGGCGACGCGGCAGGCGGGGCCTCCGCGGGCCGCGTCTCTCGCTGGCCCTCTCCCGTGGGCGTGTCACGGTCGGTCGCAGTCGCAGTCGGCTGCGCTCGTCGCGAGGGGGGGGGATCTCGGGCGGGACTAGGACGAGGATGACTCCGTTCCAGAGCGTTCCGGGACGCTCTCAGAGCGCTCCAGAGCGTCGCAGTCGCAGTCGGTTGCGCTCGTCGCGAGGGGGGGAATCTCGGGCGGGACTAGGACGAGGATGACTACGTTCCAGAGCGTTCCGGACCGCTATGGGAAGGCCGCTGCGCCCGATACATCCTCCAGAGCCGCCGGATTTCAAAGATTCTCGATTTATCTTCCCCCGAATAGATCCTCGTCCTGGCTTCGTCTTAGAAACGGGACCTGAGGGAAACGGGTCCTAAGGTTGTTCGCCGTTTCAAGGCTCTCGGGGCCATTCACGGGTCCCGGGGGTGTCAGGAAACGGCTCAGGATGAAGAGTTCGTGCTTGGGGAAGGCTCCAGGGTCCAGGATGAAGAGTTCGTCCTGGGGAGTGTCAGAAAACGGCTCAGGATGAAGAGTTCGTCCTGGGGGAAGGCTCCAGGGTCCAGGACCCGTTCCCCCCATGCTAGCCAAGTTCCACCGTTTCGGTTCGGTCGGTTCTTCTTTCGTTGCCGCGCCGTTGCGCCTGTCTAGGCCGCTTGCGGCCTGTCGATTTCGGTCGGTGCCGGTTTCGCTTTCGGCTCGGTCGGTTTTCGGTGTTGCTGTCGTGGTGCACGGCCGTGCTCTAGGTCTCCCAAATGGGGTCGGAGTAGATGGGGTCGGAGGATCGCGCCGCATCGCCGATGCATCGGCGATGCGGCTACATGTGGATCCCGATGTTATCCGCGCCGACGTTGCCCATGCACCGCCGACGTCGCCGATGCATCGGCGATGCGGCGCGATCCTCCGACCCCATCCACTCCGACCCCATTTGGGATACCTAGAGCACGGCCGTGCACCACGACAGCAACACCGAAAACCCACCAAGCCGACATCGAAGCCGACACCGACCGAAATCGACAGGCCGCAAGCGGCCTCTACTCTCGTCTCGAACGTTTCCCCGCCGGCTCGTGGAGGTCGGAGGGCACCAGCTTCGGCTTCCCGCAGTGCTGATAACAAAAACATCAAGCTTACATGAGTATGTACGGCCGCTTCTGGATGGAGCCGTCTGGGGGTCTGAGGTGGTCCAGCACTGGATCCGGCCTGCAGGAAGGGCGGGCAGTTTCGAGGTTCTGGGTTCGAGAAGGTTTTCCCCCAAGTAGGCTTGCCTAAGTGGTTCTTACTTGCTTAAAGGTTGCTGCCTCGGGGTCTACGTGGCCCATTGCTCGAAGATTCCTTGAGTTCCCCGCACCCAGTGCATCGGGGGGTATTTACTTTGCCCGTTCCTTGGAAGTTCCCCGGTTTCATCGGATTCCTCGTTGCCCGGAGGTTCATCGTGTTCCAATGCCAAGCAATGCCAAGCAATGCGGAGCACTGCGCCCATGCAATAGGAAGATTTCCCCTAATTGGGGTCGCGCTGGGTTCATTTGCCTTGCTCAACCTCCAGGTGCCGTTTTCGGGCCCTGGCACCTTGAAAAACTGATCCGGTGAAAAACTGCACCAGATGAACCTCGGGAGGGGTCTGGGGACCGATTTTGAGCGGATCTGGCCCCGCCTCCAAGCCCAAGGTCGCTTTTGATTATGGTCGCTTTCGAGCGGCTCGACCCACCCTGCGGGGGAGGAGGAGGAGGAGGAGGAGGAGAAGGAGGAGGAGGAGGAGGAGGAGGAGGAGGAGGGCGAAGAGGAGAGCGAAGAGGAGGTGGAGGAGGAGGAGGATGAGGAGGAGGAGGAGGCTAACGAGGAGTACGAATCGAGGTCCTGGGCACTTTGTTTTTTCCGGACATCCCGGAAGCTTCTCGTTGCCACGGGTGGGCATCCGCCTCAAAGTTCTGGTCCACACCTTGGGAGAGCTCCGGGGAGCGTCCGTATCGGCATCTAGTTGCGTTCGGCCCATCCCGTCACCGTGCCTGCGTAGACTAGAGGCCTTTAGGATGCTTGTTGATGTCTTGGGATGCCTCTCGGAAATATCTTGGAGGTCGGAGGCTTCTTCCCAGGGCCTCTTGCAGGCATGTTGGGGGTCTTGGGTCTTGGGGACACTATTTTGGGAAACGGCTCCCAAAGCACCGTCGCTTTCCCCCTCTCGAGATGCTTTTCGAAGCCTCATGGGCTGCCTTGGGGCCTCCTGGGGCCAGCGGGTCTTGGTTTCCTGAGAATCAAGTGTCGCTGAACGTTCTGCTTAACGGCTGTAGCCTGAGCCTCGGATCGCGGATATAAAAGCTTCTTCCCCTTCGCCAACATAGCCCCCTCCCAGTTGTCTCGTTTCAGCTACTCTGCATCAGTGACCTGGGGGCGTCTTGGGCCCTCTTGGTGCGTTCTTGGAGGCCTCTCGGGTCGTCTGGGATCGTCGGGGCGCTCTTGGGCCGTCTCGCGGCAATTGGAGGTCTGGTCTTAATTTGCGGTGTTCGAGCACTCGATGCAGAGGACTCCGAGGGGACCTGGGCGCGCTCCGATCAGTCACTACGGCACTGTGGTGGATCTTTTTGCTTCTCAGGAGGAGGAGGAGGAGGAGGAGGAGGACGACGAGGATGAGGAGGAGGAGGATTCCGCGATCGATGTTCTGTCCATTGCTTCTGCCTCCATCTCTAGACGCCACGAAGGTAGGGCAATCCATAATATCTTTCGGGTTTGGGGGGGCCCCCAGTTCCCCGAGCGCCCTGGGGAGCCCGAAACAGCACCGGAGGGTCCCCGGAGGGCCCCGAAACGGCACCAGAGCTCCCGGGAAGAGCCCCGAGATGCCGAGATGGCCCAAGGAGGCACCGAGACGACAAAAGACGGCCCCGATGTGACCCGAGATGTCCCTCCGACGGCCCAAGATGCTCCCAAGGCGGCACCATACCCGCCAAGACGCCCCGAGACGGCTCCGAGGGGACAACCTCGAGGGCCCCACGAGGCCCAAATCGTAGATTTCCCATGGGTTTCCTACGGATTCTGAAATTCTCGCGCCCTCGACCGTCTGGACCCCCCCGACGGCCCAAGAGGCCTCCAGAATCGCCCCGAGACGGGCCAAGAGGCGCCCAAGGGAGCCCCAAGGCAGCCCAGGAGGGGCCCACGGAGGGCCCGAGAGGTCCCCGAGATGGCCCAAGAAACCCCCGAAGAGGACCCCAAGACGGCGCAACAAGCCCACAAGAGGCCCCCAAGACGGGCCAAAAGGGACCCGAGTTTGCCCACGAGGGCCCCAAGACGCTCGAAGATGCTGTCAAGACGACCCCCAGAGGGCCCAAGACGCCCCACAAGAGCCCCAGGATGACCCCCAAGAGGGCCTGAAGAGGCGAAAATCATCGACTTCACGTTGTTTGTCGATCGCACACCGCAGATTTCTGGCACTTGCGCCGTAGACAGAAGCGCGCGTCGGCAAACTTCGACTCACGCAGCTCCGTGGATTTAATCCACGGGTCCACACTAGTACCTATATACAGATATGTATGTGTTCATAGTCTATGCATGTATGTGTTTCTATAGACACTCTATATATATGTGTGTATGAGTGTATGTCGGTCTTCATAACATGTTTGCCTCCAGATGCCAGAGCTTTAACCATGTCCCACTCTGGCCCAACCTCCTCATATCCTTGATCCTCCACCCCTTCGTCCTCCTTGCCACCTTTCTTATCATCGTCCTTGTCTTCCTCTCGGTCCTCGTCCTTCTCATCTGGTTGACGCCCCCTGCTTGTTTGAATGCTAAGGGCACTTCTGGGGAAATATGAATTGACAACCTGCAGTGGCGCGTCAGTCGTCATCAGGGCGGCTTCCGGTGATGAGTATCAAACGAGTGTGTTTTATTTATCCGGCTTCCGATGCCAGCCCCACGCCTGGCTTGTTCATTCATTTGTCTGCCATAGTCGGGCGCAGCATTTCCAAAGCAGGCACAAGGCGAGATGCAGACATTGAACAGAATGTCTGACTCGCGCATCTGCGTACTCTCAGGACTCTGCCCCGCTAGGATGGCTGCCGAAGGTCAGTCGAACACATGGACATGTTGAAAGGGACACCTCCCAGACAGTAGGACTCAGTAGGATGAGGGACCGGGGCAGATCATGTGGTCGTCGCTTCGGCCGCCAGTTTGGCGGCAGCGCCGATGCGCCAGCATAGCCGCGTGGGCCACTTTCGCAGCCACCTGGGCTCAAGGAGGCGAGCGCCTCCCGAGGAAGCTCGCGACTCCCTCGAAGGACGCGCCAGTCGGAGCGATGGTGCAAGATGGTTCCAGCGCGGCCAGGCCCGTGGCCCACTTGCCCAGTAAGGAGGAGGAGGAGGAGGAGTAAGGAGGGGTAGGAAGAGAAGGCGGAGGAGGAGTAGGAGGAGGGGGAGGAGGGAGGAGGAGAAGGAGGAGGAGGAGGAGGAGGAGGAGGAGGAGGAGGAGGAGGAGGAGGAGAATGATGATGATGAGGAGGAGGAGGAGGACCAGACCCCCCAGAGGCAGGGGCCATCGACAAGCTGGGCCGCTTTGGGCCTCTGGAGGGTCCGCGTGGCTTCTTGGTCGCACCCGTGCCCCCCGAGGTCTAGACATGCTTGAGCCCTGGGTCCTGAACCTGTGGGCCCCCTCCGTGGGGCCAGCTCTGCGTCCTGGGTCAGTATTCTGATCCCCCCCGGGGTCCGCAGGGGCCGACAGCAAGCGAGAATGAGAAGAAGCATCGGGCACGATGTGGTCCAATCGCTGAAGGTCTGGGCCCTGGGCCTGGCATGTGGGCCACGGGTTGTAAGGCAGAGCAACGTCGAGGCGGCGTCCGCCGCCGTCCTGAAGCTGATGGCCACGCAGGTGGTCCTGCAGGCTGCCGGCAACGCCATGGAGCGCGAGGAGGATTGGCGACGCGCAGAAGCGGGTGGCACGAGGAGGGGTCGACTTCGACCTCCTTGCAGCGAGCAGTGGCGAAGCGTCCCGGCCTCCATG